ATGGTCTAATTTCCTTTGAAATTAACTATCAAATTATCTTTACCATTGGGGTATCTTCTGTAAAAAGACACAAATAACCAATTAATTCAAAGCAGTGCTACAATCTAATTGCTAAAATTTTATTAAAAATAGATCTGTTCCACACAAAAATGTCCAGTTAATTTTGACAAAGTTGCAAAGGCAATTCAACAGAGGAAGGACAGCTTATCAACAAATAATGCTGGAACAACTGGACATCTTTAGGCAAAAAAAGGGAACCTTGACCTAAACTACATACTTTATTAAAAAAATCAACTCAAAATACACCATGGACTCAAATGTAAAATTATAAATCTTCTAGAAAAGAACATAAAAGATAAACTTTGGGACCTAAAACTAGGCAAAATGGCTTGGTTTGGCTTAGACTTTATGACAAAAGCATGATCTATAAGGTAAAGTTAATAAATTTGACTGCATAAAAATGAAAAACTCTGCTCTGGAAAAACCACTGTTGGAAGGATAAAAAGACAAATTATAGACCCTGAGAAATATTTGCAAATCATATATCTGACAAAGGCTTTGTATACAGAATATATAAAGAACTTCCAAATTCAGCAATAAAAAATAAATAATCCAAACGGAAAATGGGCAAAGGACACATATAGACCTTTCACCAAAGAAACTATTCAGATGGGAAATAAACATCTGAAAGGATTTCCAACATCATTAGTTCCCTGGATGAATCTCGATGACGATGACAACCACCACCACCACCACCAACAGCACCACCAAAGTAGCTGTTATAGGTCAAATTGTGTCCCTCCAAAAAGATCAATTGAAGTTCTACTTCTAGTACTTCAGAATGTAACCTAATTTAGAAATAAGGTCTTTACAAATTTAACCAAGTCAAGATGAAATCATGACAACTGTCTCTCTTCAAATCTGCCTGAAGTCCTTATAAAAAAAGGAAATTTGGACACTAACAGGTGCAGAGGGAAGACAACATGAAGACACATAGGGTGAAGATGGTCATGTGCCTGGGGTGATGTGTATATAAAGCCAAGGTAGGCCAAGGATTGTTGGCAGGCACTAGAAGCTGGAAGAGGCAAGGAAGGATATTCCCCAGAGCTGTCATAGCATGGCCCTGCTGACACCTTGATTTCAGACCTCTAGCCCCCACAAGTGTGAAATGATAAATTTCTGCTGTTTTAAGCAATCTGGTTTTTGGTACTTTGTGCAGCTGGCCTAGGAAACAACACTGATATATATTGCATGGTTTCATTTGTGTAATGATCATGAAATAACGTAATTATAATGGTGAAACCAGATTAGTACTGATGTCAGTTTCTTGGTTTGGGTGTGGTATTGGGTGTTGTATGGTGGCTATTGGGGGTAAGGGGTGTTAGTACAGGAGAGGGTGTACACTATATATTTCTTTGAAGTCTATTGTGAATCTATAATTACTATGAATCTAAAAATTTAGAATAATTTTATTCAAAATAAAAGTTAAGCGGGTACCTGGCTGGCCCAGTTAGTAGAGCAGGTAACTCTCGATCTTGGGATTGTAAGTTTGAGCCCCAGGCTGGGTGTAGAGATTACTTAAAAATCTTAAAAAGAGAATGGTCGAGTTTCATTCTTCTACATATAGCTGTCCAATTTTTTTTTTTTAAGATTTTATTTATTTATTTGACAGAGACAGAGAGATCACAAGTAGTCAGAGAGGCAGGCAGAGAGAGAGGAGGAAGCAGGCCCCCTGCTGAGCAGAGAGCCTGATGCGGGGCCTGATCCCAGGACCCTGAGATCATGACCTGAGCTGAAGGCAGAGGCCGTAACCCACTGAGCCACCCAGGTGCCCCTAGCTGTCCAATTTTCCCAGCACCATTTATTGAAGAGACTTTTTTCCACTGTATATTTTTTCCTGCTTTGTCGAATATTATTTGACCATCAAGTTGAAGGTCCATATCTGGGCTCTCTACTCTGTTCCACTGGTCTATGTGTCTGTTTTTATGCCAGTACCATGCTGTCTTGGTGAGATAGGAATCCATCAGAATCCTAGAGGAGAACATAGGCAGTAATCTCTTCGATATCAGCCATAGCAACTTCTTTCAAGATATGTCTCCAAAGGCAAAGGAAACAAAAGCGAAAATGAACTTTTGGGACTTCATCAAGATCAAAAGCTTCTGCACAGCAAAGGAAACAGTCAAGAAAACAAAGAGGCAACCCACGGAATGGGAGAAGATATTCGCCAATGACAGTACAGACAAAAGGTTGATATACAGGATCTATAAAGAACTTCTCAAACTCAACACACACAAAACAGATAATCATATCAAAAAATGGGCAGAAGATATGAACAGACACTTCTCCAATGAAGACATACAAATGGCTATCAGACACATGAAAAAATGTTCATCATCACTAGCCATTAGGGAGATTCAAATTAAAACCACATTGAGATACCACCTTACACCACTTAGAATGGCCAAAATTCGCAAGACAGGAAACAACATGTGTTGGAAGGGATGTGGAGAAAGGGGAACCCTCTTCCACTGTTGGTGGGAATGCAAGTTGGTGCAGCCACTTTGGAGAACAGTGTGGAGATTCCTCAAGAAATTAAAAATAGAGCTTCCCTATGACCCTGCCATTGCACTACTGGGTATTTACCCCAAAGATACAGATGTAGTGAAAAGAAGGGCCATCTGTACCCCAATGTTTATAGCAGCAATGGCCACGGTCGCCAAACTATGGAAAGAACCAAGATGCCCTTCAATGGATGAATGGATAAGGAAGATGTGGTCCATATATACCATGGAGTATTATGCCTCCATCAGAAAGGATGAATACCCAACTTTTGTAGCAACATGGACGGGACTGGAAGAGATTATGTTGAGTGAAATAAGTCAAGCAGAGAGAGTCAATTATCATATGGTTTCACTTATTTGTGGAGCATAACAAATAGCATGGAGGACAAGGGGAGTTAGAGAGGAGAAGGGAGTTGAGGGAAATTGGAAGGGGAGGTGAACCATGAGAGACTATGGACTCTGAAAAACAACCTGAGGGTTTTGAGGGGCCGGAGGGTGGGAGGTTGGGGGAGCCAGGTGGTGGGTATTATGGAGGGCACGTATTGCATGGAGCACTGGGTGTGGTGCAAAAACAATGAATTCTGTTACGCTGAAAAGAAATTAAAAAAATAAAAATAAATTAAAAAATAAAAAAAAAAAATAAGGAAATGTCTGTAAACAGCTATGCTTGGTACAGAGATTATTTCATTTAGCTCACTGAATGGTGGCTGTTGTCATAACTGTTCATCAGTTATAGTGCCTGTGGAGAGATGTGGCAAGCAGAATATTTAGTAATATTAATAAATGGAAATTTATTTCCTTTCACTGAAAAAAAATCTTTAAAAAAAAGTTAAATACAAAAAATATGTCTTTCACTTTCATGACTTAGCCATTTGTATAATGAAAATACAACTGAATCTTCTTTGATAATTCAGGTTCTTGCAGTGACTCACTGTGCCATTCTTAAAGTCAATGGTCACTGTAGAATGTATACACTGTAGAATGTATACTTGAACACACAGTGCCCCTGGGACTTAGCTTGTTTCAATTTCTCCCTGAGGAAGTTGGTTTCTGGTGATTCTCTGTTCCACAAATAAAATACAGAAGGTGGAAGATTTTAGTGCATTGAGGAATCTTTTCCATTGTGTTCCAAGCACCTACACGTCCTAAGTACCACCAATTCTTTAGTACATACACCCACTGAAACCCATACTTGCTGGCAGGCTGCACCTAGGCTAATGGAAGCATATTTCTTGGCAGAGAACTTGGGGCAGGAGGTTATCAGTGTTTTCAACCAGTCCCAATGCAGGGTTCCTTCATCCAGTGAGGCAGATGATCTGCAGTTTGTTTTACTCTGTCCTAGGGCGCCCATCCATTGGGGCTATTGTCGAGTCTAGAAATGGTATATCTGACACCTGTTTTTTATTTTCCATGTCTGCTATCAGCTGGGGCTTTGAGCAACTGAGGCTCTGTGGACAGGAACATGGGGTATATTGCCTCTAAGGACAGTGTTCTATCTGCAGAGTAAATGGCAGCTGCAGAGCCTGATGTTACAGCACTACAACCTGGAATGTGTGTGAGAATAACAGGAATATGGCAGATGCTAAGCATGTCTTAACATACTGAGCGTCCTGCAGATGGTGGGTGGGGGGAGTTTGCAGTCAGCCTTCACTTCACTTCAGGGTTGGAAGGTAAGAGACACATCAGGTGCCTGGACCTCATTGTCACTGTGGGCCTGTCCCTGTGCCTGTTGACCCAAATTCTGGGATGGCTCACAGGAAGCACTGTAACTAACTAATGTTAATCACTCTCTTATTCCTTAGGGGAGGTACGAATTCACTAAAAGGTGAACAGAGAAAAGGAAAATGAGGATTGAACAATGGGTTGTTTTGTATACTGCAAGTGAGATCTGCATGGAGTTAAGGTCAACCAGAGGTTTCTTTCTTGCAGAACTTACACCATATGTTCAGCTTGCCAAAAACATCCCTTTCTCTTGTCTACTTCTTGCTGATCTGTTGAGTGGGAAGGCAGCCAACAGGTAGCTCCTCTAGGCTGCAGCTCCCCAGCACTGCTGAGACCTCCCCGGGGCTACAGGGCTTCCTTTCCCTATTGATGGCTCAGAGCTGTTGGACAGTTCTAACAGGGGCTAAGCTCAACCCCAAGACTCCTTCTTCCACCTCCTCTCTTTCCTTTCTATAATCTGTGTGCCAGAAAAGAACTCACAGTGTTGGGCTGAGAACGTTTCACGTGAGCTATGCCTAAGTTGTTTCTTACGTAGTACTTACCACAGTGGCTGGTGGCTGCACAAGGAATGGATTAATTGCCTCAGCATGGATCACGCATAAATGGATTTTTAAAATGCTTTTCTATTTTAGCACTCCATTAATTTCTATGAGAGGTTATCCTTTAATAAATTTTATAACACCTTATCAGAGAGAGAAAGGAAGAGGGATTGATTACCTGTGGTCTCTGGTAAATCACTCTGGCATAGAAACTGCAACGGGTACTAACATCACTAGTCTGGAAAGGCATTGAAAATGATTAGAACATCACAAAAAGCATAAAAATATAGTAAGAATAACTAAAGACCCTGTTATAAACACAGATGTTACCTGGAGAATTTCTTTTAAGAAGCGGGGAACTGGAGGCTGGTAAAGTTTAGAAATGGGGTCTTCTTCAATTATATCAATTTGCCCCACATTTGGATGAGCAGTAAGGATGTAACAGAAGCTAGGAGGAGGCATGTGATTTTTTACCTGTTTAAAATTAAGGCAACGGTAGAACATAAATATGCTAGTAAAAGATTTAAATATACTATTAAAATCTACTCTTTAATATATAGACATTTATTCACAGATGCATTCTTTTTATCTGGAAGGTTGTATAAGAAATAGATTATGTTGTTTATATCTATGACCAAGCATTAGAACTTTATGAATTAACTTTTTGAATTTACTATGGATTCAAGACTTCATTTAAAAATTTCATTCTTCAGAGTCTTCTTTTTTTTTTTTTTAAAGATTTTATTTATTTATTTGACAGAGAAGTCACAAGTAGGCAAAGCAGTAGGCAGAGAGAGAGGGGAAAGCAGGCTCCCTGCTGAGCAGAGAGACAGATGCGGGGGTCGATCCCAGGACCCTGAGATCATGGCCTGAGCCGAAGGCAGAGGCTTAACCCACTGAGCCACCCAGGCGCCCCCAGAAAATATTTAGAAACTTTTTCCTCTTAAATAGAATTTGGCATTTTTGACAACTATTTTCTTGGTCTAGCACTATACAGAGTCATAGTTCTAGCAGTCTGCTAGGAAGTCAGCTACCACATAAACAAGATGGCCCCCCGTTTTTAGCTTTGGGAGCTGGGGCCCAAAGTAGCTGCTGGTCAGTCTGCCGGATAAAACTCAGGATGGAGAAGAAGGGACAAATTTTGATCAGTTTTGCTACATGTGAGCAACTACCATCGACAATTTGATGCTGCAGGAAAATGGAAATCCCTGGCTCACCTGGTGGTTGAAAGAATATCCATGGAATTTATTTATTAGGTTATGAGTTTGTGCTCTTATCTGGTAATTGAGGCTTGGTTCTAACAGTGATTGGGAGGTGGTGGGGAAAACATCCTGTGTCTTAATTAGGATGAGGCTAAGACACTAATTGTTGCAATGGTATGCAATGGCTGTGGTTTAAAAACATAGCCGTAAATTAACCTCAAGAATGGTGAGTATGGTACAAGCAGAGAAAGCAGCCAGAGTTTGGACTGTGGAGTGAGGTGAGCAAGTCTGAATCTCTGTCCTCCTGACTCACAGTCACTGGACCTATCCTTTTCAGGGATGTGGACTAGGGGTAGGGCCTGGCTCAGCAACTGGCATAGAGCAGGCAGTGACCAGGGGAAGCTCTTTAGATGCTGGCTTACCTTTTCACAGGCTTGGCCATGACCGGGTGCTTTCAGAGGCATCACTGGAGGCCACAGGGTATCGATCAAACTGAAAAGCCCTGCTGCCCTGGAAAAAGAAAAGATGTTGTCGATAGTATTCATCACTTAAGTGCCTCTTTATGACCTGGTCCTATGCAGTTTTGCTTAACAGACACCATCCCTAATGCCAGGGAGATACCATTCAGCATCCCTGTTGATTCAGATGGGGAAGAGAGGGTCATACAGACGAACAGATCTTTGAAACTGCACAAGAACAGAAAGGATATTGTTCATTAAATTATGATATATCTCCCAATGAAGTATTATACAGCCATTGAAATGGTTACATAGAAAATATTTAAAGACATGGAAAAATGGTTCTGATACCTTGTTAAGTGAAAAGCCAGCAACAAATTACAATGTCTTTATGTATATTTCTATACATGTACCTCCATGTAATAAGCCAAAGGAAAAGGAGACTGAAAGATACAAAAATGATTTTAGTGGGTATCTGATCAGAGCTCAGAAGTGACAGTCACTTTCCTCATTTGGCTTTTATGTGTTTCCTATCTTTTTCCAAAACAGGTATGCGTTACTCAGATAAAAAGAAAGTTATCTATTTATCAAATTATCTAAAATAAAGAATACAGCCAGACAAAAAAGGACAAATATTTTGATTCTGCTCATGAAATTCCTAGAGGAGTCAAATTCACAGAGACAGAAAGTACAATGGCGGTTGCTAGGGACTGAGGGAATGGGAAATGGACAGTTAGTGTTGAATGGTTTGGAGTTTTAGTTTGGGAAGATGGAAACATTCTAGAGATGGATGAGGGTGATGGATGTACAATAGTGTGAATGCACTCAATGCCTCTAAAAATGGTTAAGGTGGAAAATTTTGTATTATGTCCATTTTACCACAATAAAAAAATCCCGTTTTAGTTGCTATATGTATGAGTGTGTATCATACATGCATATCTCACAACGGCTTCTTAGATTTTGCTCTAAGTTTCAACAATGTTAATATATAATATGTTAGTTACATTTTAAAAAGCTTGTGTCCCTAATAACTAACGTGACATATTACTTCTTCAGTGTTTAATAGCAAGTACTGTTTTAGGGGCTTAGGATCTAGCAGTTAACACACCTGAGCAACTCAGAACCTACAAATCATGTACTAGAGCAAGACTCAAGCACTTCCCCACCTCCTTTTCATTTCTTACACCAATTACAACAGAAAAAGCCCACGCAGAGTGTGGCCTGTGATAGACACCCAGCTCAATATCATTCCTGTGAATTTTCAGGTTCTGGGTCAAAATCAAGCACAAAAAATAAGCAAAGGCAGGAAATCACATGCTAAAAAAGGAATGCCTAGTGAAAATTCATTCTCTCTCTCTCTCGGTTATTTCTGAGAAGTAGGCTGCTGCCGCTACTTGTATGAGTGATGGATAGGGCTGTGAGTGACCAGGCCTGGCGAAGGTCAGGAAAGGCTGTCAGGGAAGGCTCAGAGGAGAGGTGACTTCAGTGAGGTGACCTCTCACTGCCCTTCCCAAGACTAAGGAACTGGGTGGGCCCACTGTGCCTCTGGTTGAGGCGGAGGGAGAGGGAGAAGGGCAACAGGACATGGGCTGTCCACTTGCTCCCTGTCTGCCATGTGCCCAGAACTTCCTATTCCAGGTTTGGCTGCTTTCTTTTCACTGAGCATGCCTCCTGACTCCTGTTTCTCTGCCATCCCCTCACTGTTTGATGTGAGCTCCCCAGGGGATGGGCATGGATTTATCCCAGTTATTTATTTCCACTGCTGCAGAGAAGAGCCCAGTTCATACGAAGGGGTCAAAAAGACTTGGTGACTGAATAACTGATACCCACAAGTGCCTACATACTTCATTGCAGAAATCAGACCTAGCACCTTTGATATGCTCATTTCCTATTTGTAAGTCTGAGAAATGCAATGTTCGGGGACAGACTAATTTTCTAAACCAATAAATAACCCGTTTCTCACCTTAGACCTGACTACATTTCTACGACAATGCTAGGACTTTACTCAAGCCCGTTGTTTAGAGGGTATGGGTGTAGCATGGGCCTTGGAGTCAGACCTGGGTCTCACTCTAGCTCTGCCTGTTATGTACTATGACACCCTAAAAAAGTTGCATGCATGTACAGCATCTATGAGGGTTTCTATGCTCAGAATAAGTAAGTACTCGATACATGCTTCTGTTGTTTGGAGTCCCATAAACTCCATGACGACAGGGTTCTGTGGTCAGTTAGGGTTGCCCTGTGCAGCATATCTGTGGCTTAGCAGGACACACTGGAATGGCAGATTCTGGAAAACTTTGTGTAAAAGACACATGTAAAATCTGGACAAACGGAAGGTTTTTCAATTTATATCCATGAAATCCTTTTTGGTGTAATCACTATTAATATTCCAAGAAATCAGTGTTCCCTTGGAATTTTCTTTGAGAAGTGCTGTATGAACATAGCCTTAGAAAAGTTCTATTTGAATTTAATGATGCTAATTTAGAGGATGCTATTGGCTAATTTAAAACGTTTGGACTGGTTACAAGTTTATATTTTATATTTATATATATATTTATATATATATATATATTTATATTTTAATGTAGACTCTTAGGAATAGGAGTTAATAGGAGTTAATAGGAGGTAAATAAAAAGCGTTGTCTTATAATAAATCAGCTTTTCTCCTGTTTTGGAAAATACATATGATTCAGATGGCTGCTGCTGCTCTGTGAACTACAACTTTCCTCTCGGGCAGCACACACATTCCTCGAAATGAGTCCAGCCTCTAACTGGGACAGACTTTGTGCTGAAGCTAACTTTTGGCACAGTTAGAGTGTATTGTTTTTCCCATGTCAGTTCATTCCTTACTACTCATTTTTGCATAAGCTTTCACTTTGTTGCATAGGAAACTCATTCTTTCTAAAAAGCCATCCCTTTAAAATGTTTAAAACAACAAACAAGCTGCCTGACAGGGCAGAGGCCACCAAAAGTTTCTATTTTAATTTTTTAAAAAGTTTATAAAATAAATGTTTAATTAAAATAGAGGGAGAAAAAGGACATATAAAGTCATTATATTTATAAATATCATTTAAAAATCTGAAAATATCATTTTGCCAGAATAAACTTCTTAGGATATATCCTAATTTATAGATTGCATAAAGTGATTCTGCAGAAAAATCTGGGTGACATCTCAGAAAATTAGGCAGTTTCTATATTTTTATTTATAGTAACAGATGTCTTCCCTTTTAAATGGGAAGACATCAAGATACATGCACATATTAAAATTATAATTACCAAACTGCACACTTAAAATACATTTTATACATTTTGTTATGCATATTTTACCATAGTAAAAAATTGTATTTGCCACAAAAAATGAGTAGTATTTTGATTGGGGTCTCTGGGGACTGCTGAAAGGGGTATATTCCCTTCTGTGTGAGATGTGATGCAATATGAACACCTCGAATTCTTTACTGTACCATAGTAACATAGAAGGTGCTATAAACCCTATTTTAAAAATTGAAATATGTTGCAAATGAAAAAATTCATACTTTTCAAGTATACAGTGCACTGATTTTTAGTGTATTCATAGAGTTGTGCAACTTTCACCACTACTTTCAGAATGTTTTATCATGCCAATATTACACTCCCTGCTGTGCCAATCTGCAGTCACTCTTGCTACTGTTCTACTAGCTGTTTTTATGAACACTGTAAATAAATGGAATAATATAATATGTGGTCTTAATATCTGCTTCTTTCACTGAGCATCATTTTTTTAAAGGTTAGTCCATGTTATTGCATGTGTCAGTACTATATTCTTTTTTTTTTTGGCTGAGTAATATTCCACGTTATGGATATTATCATTCATCAGTTCGTGGACATTTGGGTTATTTCCACCTCTCAGCTGTTATGAAGACTGCCTCTATGAACATCCATGCACAAGTTTCTGTGTGAACATACATTTTCAGTTCTCTTGGGTAGATAACCTAGGTTATTCTGTGTTTAACTTTTTGAGGAACTGCCAAACTGCTGTACACAGTGCTGTACCATTTTACATTCCCAACAATGTGTGGGGTTATAAATCCAATTTTGCTTGCAAGTTAAATACATATATTTTTTAAAATTGGAAACATGAGGGGTGCCTGGGTGGCTCAGTGGGTTAAGCCTCTTGTGTTCAGCTCAGGTCATGATCTCAGAGTCCTGGGATCGAGCCCCACATCGGGCTCTCTGCTCGGTGGGGAGCCTGCTTCTCCCTCTCTCTCTGCCTGCCTCTCTGCCTACTTGTGATCCCTCTCTCTCTCTCAAATAAATAGATAAAATCTTTTAAAAAAAATTTGGAAACATGAAACTTTATATCTGGAAGGATTTATAAAAGAACTCTTAGTACTTTTTTTTTTTCCTATATTCACTTTTATGCCTTTTGGACACTCTGAAATTTTAACAAGAACATATATTACTTTTACTACCCATTTTGAAAACCAAAAAGTTAGGGGTCTGTTAAAACAGTGGTAACCACTGGGGAGAAGCGTCTTAGAGTGAAAAGAGGATCCTTTTTAGACACACACAGGTCTGGTCTAAGCCTAGCTGTGACCTCCCTCCATGGGAGCCCCACATGGGGCTGTGGACATGTTTCCAGGGTGGTTGTGGGGACTAGAGAGAATGTAACTTTTGTCCCTGAGTGTGGCATAAATGGCAACTGCTATTGCTATTATTGGTATCTTTTGGTACTTTCAAATAAACTCCCCAAAAAAGTAATATTATGTAATTCACAGTTATTTAACTATTACTACTTTTTTTTAAACTATTTAATCAATAAATCATTTGACTTTTTAAAAACTTACTTTGAATTAACTATAGATTCACAGAAAGTTGTAAAGATAGTAGAGAGATCCTATGTAGCCATCACTTTCTTATAGTCTAGTTATATAAAGTACTAGCATAGAATAAGCTAGTGATATAACTACTCAAAATGCAAAGTATACTCTTTTCAAAGACACTCCTGTGACCAACAGCATAAGCAGGATGTGGGATCAGAGATTTCCTTTAAATGGTTTTCAACTCAGGGCGCCTGGG